AATATGGAAAAGTTCAAGGGGTATGAATACTTTTGCAAACCACTGTAGCTAAAGACAAAAACAATTTGTTTTGCTGATCATTAGGGTGTGAAATCGGTATTTTTGACCCATCATATCGAAATGGGGATTAAGTCAAATTTGGTCAAAATTACATTTTCAGATTCCTGCTTTAAAAGCTACATTTTGATCCCTGAATCATTTTGATATCATAAGCTTACAGAGATATGACTTAATTTGTCTTGTTGGTTACTATWATATATTACTGTTTGTTCTGAACCCTAATTTAATGTAAATTTATTGAGTATTTTTATGTCAATATAAAGAGTAAACCTCAAAGACTATTTGTATATTAAGATTTCCCTGTTAAGAAACAAAAACATTGCTAACTCACAGGGAAAAACTCTAAATTTTCAGGCGGTTTTTTTTTGTTGCTACTGCTCAAAAAATGCTTCAACAAATTTTTTTAGGATGGTATTTCAGAAAGTTTATTCAAACGATACATTGATAAGACATTAATTCATTATATTTAGATAAAATGCTATTTTTTGCAGACGTTTAAATCAAAACCCTGTCTGCCTGTTTCTCCACTTTTGGACTTAATCCTCGTTTTGATGTGATGGGTCACATTTATGTAAAGGAATATATGGGTGTGTGTGTATATATTCATTTTTTTGTTAAATGGGGCCAGACGTTGTACGATTTTTTTCTTATTTCTGCTCCCTTTCATTTAATGATTTTGTGTTGTGCTGGAAATTGTTTTGTTTTTTATATAAATGTTTTATTTTTAATTAAAAGAAAAAAAGAGCATGAACATAGAAGCTACAACCCCAATTCTAGTGAAATTGAGACAATGTGCAAATCCTTTTCAACCTATATTCTGCCACGTTGTTGGAACACGTGATGAATGTAGCTTGGCATTGTCTTGCTGAAATAAGCAGAACGTCTCTGTAAAAGATGTGGCTTGAATGGCCCATGTTACTCTAAAACCTGTATGGACCTTTCAATTTCGCAGCACGATGGGTCAGTGGTTAGCACCAACGCCCCACAGCAAGAAGGTCCTGGGTTCGATCCCCGGTTCAGGCCTGGGGTCTTTCTGTGTGGAGTTTGCATGTTCTCCTCGTGCTTRTGTGGGTTTTCTCTGGGTACTCCGGTTTCCCCCACCCCTAAAAACATGTACAATAGGTTCCTTTCAGGCCCAGGCCGCCCTTGAAAAAGAGATCTGAGATCTCAATGAGACTTGCCTGGTTAAATAACGGTAAATAAATGTCCTGATGCATCTCAGTGATCCAGGTAAAAAAAATCAAAAAGAAAAAAATTGTATAGGTCCTGGACGGGTTCTTCTCTAATGAAACGTTTCGTCTCTCCTCCAAGAGACTTCTTCAGTCTGAGAGTTTCAGGCAAAATTCAGGCTTTTAAGCMCTGCCTCCATGTGACTGATACTCACATCACATGGCTATCGTTGACACCTAATTAACACTTATTGTTTACAGGGGGTGGAGTGATACTGGCAATAGCAGCGCTGTAGGAGGGGGACAACTGAAAACGGAGGCCTCCACCTCTGTTTAATGATGGACGGTCTTTCTTCACAAAAATGGCTTCTTTTACTCCTCTCTCAAACCAACGTTCCTCTCTATCAAGAATGAGAACATTCTCATCTCTGAAAGAGTGACCGCTGGCCTGTAAATGAGTGAAAACTGCAGAGTTCTGGCCATTAGATGTAGCTCGTCTGTGTTGGGACATTCTTTTGGACAGTGGCTGCTTTGTTTCCCCGATGTATAACTGGTCGCAGTCCTCCTGGCACTTAACAGCATATACAACATTGCTCTGTTTGTGCCGGGGCACCGGATCTTTGATAAATAAATAAATAAACAAATAAATAAATAGATAAGGTCTTCACAGATGTGCAAGTTACCCATGCCATGGTGTTTCTGGTTGGAGCTTGAATTTGCACTTGTAGATGTAGCCTTGCCCCAGCCTTTTTGGAACGTGTTGCAAGCATCAAATTCAAAATGAAAAATATTTGCCAAAAATCCATAAAGYTGATCTTTTTTGAGCATTAAATATGCTATATTTGTAGTGTATTCAATTGAATATAGGTTGAAAAAAGATTAGAAAATCATTGTGTTCTGTTTTCATTTGTTTTCCACAATGTACCAACTTCACTGGAATTGGGGCTGTAGCAACAGGCTAACTGAAATCTAAAAGTAGCTATGTTAAATCAGATTCCAAAGAGAACAATGTTTTTAAAAGCAATTAAGAGTTTTTCTACAGGGGACATAATCTGCTAACAAAATGTTACAAATCCAAAGAATTCCTACCTTTCATCTGAGCGTCGGCTGCTCCTCTCGTAGGAGATGGATGGTGGAGACAGAGAGCGCCTCCTCCGTCGCTCAGAGCTGCGAGGAGTTTTTTCCGAGACTCGATCGCGGTCCCTCTCTCTGTCCCGCTCTCTGTCCCGCTCTCTGTCCCGCTCTCTGTCCCTGTCCCAGTCTCGATCGTAATCTCTGTCTCTGTCACGTTCTCGCTCCTTCTCTCGCTCCCTTTCGCGTTCTCGGCTGCCAGAAGTGTTGCGTGGTGTCAGAGCTGTGTCTCGATCACGGCTTCGGTCTGCCAGGCAAATTTCACCAGTTAAAATAAAAAAAAAAAACACTAAAATCTTCAACCAGAAGGAAGCTTTGAAATAAAGATCATACCTCTTGCTTCTTTTTCTACCTGGATCTTTTTAGGTATTCTGTACACCTCCTGAAAAGACAAGTTCAACTTTGATTTTAGAAAACAAAAAACATTTAAACTGGTCACAAAAATATCACAATACTTTGGTGTATACGTGACCCATCACATCGAAACAAGGATTAAAGTGGAATGTGGAGAAACAGGCAGATACAGGGTTTTAAAGTTACGTGTGTAAAAACTGCATTTTGTCAAAATATAATGAATTAATGCCTTACTAATGTATCAGTTGAATGAACTTTTTGAAATATAATCTTAAAAAATATTTTTGAAGCATTTTTTTGAGCAGTAGCAACAAAAAAAAAAAACTGATTTTGAGAAAAAAACGCCTTAAAATTTTGAATTTTTACCTGTGAGTTAGCAATGTTTTTGTTTCTTTTCAACAGGGAAATCTTAATATACAAATACTATTTGAGGTTCACTCTTTATATCGACATAAAAATACTCAATAAATTTACATAAAATTAGGTTTTAGACCAAACAGAAATGTGTTATTGTAACCAACAGGACAAATTAAGTCATATCTCTGGATAAGTTTATCATATCAGGATGATCCAGGTATCAAAATGTAGCTTTTAAAGCAGGAATCTGAAAATGTAATGAGGTCATTTTGACTTAATCCTCATTTCAATATGATGGGTCACATAAGATTTGGCCACAAAGGTCAACTCTAAACCAACCTTCAGATCCTTCCAGGTCTCCAAAAGCCTCGCAGCCATCCCACTGATGTCCAAAACACTGAGTTGGGGCTCCTGACTTCTCTCACTTTCCACATCCGAGACACCTTCCTCTTCTTCCTGAGAGGGAGTTCCCATCGCCGACGGTTCCACCTGCATCGCTGCGACCTCCGAGGAGACGGTGACCTCTGAGGAGACGGTGACCTCCGAGGAGACGGTGACCTCTGAGGAGACGGTGACCTCCGAGGAGACGGTGACCTCTGAGGAGACGGTGACCTCCGAGGAGACGGTGACCTCTGAGGAGACGGTGACCTCCGAGGAGACGGTGACCTCTGAGGAGACGGTGACCTCCGAGGAGACGGTGACCTCTGAGGAGACGGTGACCTCCGGCGTCTCTGAGCTTKGGGGAGCGAAGGTGCCGGACTCAGCGAGTTGTGACTCACCGCTGGGAGGAAGTTTCTCAGCCTCTTGTGGCTCTTCGCGTGTTTCTGCAGCCGCTGAAGGCTGCTCATTTGGAACATCAGCAGGGGTCGTTTGACTGGACTGACTTTCTGACTCGTTGTTTTGATCAGTAGACGAGCCTCCTTCTGAGCTGTCTTTTTCTGGCACCGTTTGGCTGTGCTGCTTCTCCACACTCTCCTGCTCTTCACAAGTAATTTTTGAGGCCTCAGCTTCATCTGTTTGACCCTCTCCCATGTTCTCTTTCATTTCCGTTCCCTTCTTTTCAACATTAAACTCCTTTCTGTCCTCATTGTTCACATTTTCGTGTTGCTCTTGACTGCTTGAGTTCGTCTCCATCTTGTCCTGTTTTTCTGGGACGATGCCTTTCATGGACTCCTCCACCGCCTCCTTCGCTGCGCCGACAGCTTCGTCTGAATGTTCCTCTTTCAACTGCTTTCCGTCCGAAGAATCGGCGTGAGACTTTTCGTCCTCGTCCTCCTCCTCGTCCTCCTCCTCCTCTTCCTCCTTCCCGTCAGAGGCCTTGCTTGCATCGGATAGAGCGCTGTCCAGACTGTTCTCGCTAATGATTTTAAGGCGGCGGTACACGGCAGGTTTGGCTGCGTCGCCATCTAGTTCCGGCGCTAGTTTGGTGGAGGAACCATCGGGAGTGTTGAGCGGCGTTTGAGCTCGGGAGGTGTTCTCGCTGGAGTAACCGTCCATCTCGGGTTGCTGGGGGAGAGTTTTGGTCTGAGCCCACCGCTGAATGAGAGTCAGGACTTTGCTCTCCTCCAGCATGTTCTTTGTGGAGATGGGCAGCACAGCTAGGGTCTTCATGATCTGTGAGAAGCATAGAGAACTGATAAGAAACTGTCAATGTATGAGGAGCTATTGGGCGTGGCTAGCACGTTGCTAGCTACATGGACGTGCGCACACTGGAGCTCTGTTAGGCATTGAAGAGCCTCAACAAAATGAATGGATGTCAATGGTCTGTGAGGCGTCATCCTGATGAAAAACTCTTAAATTTCTTATTTCTTGCTCGATTTTTACAAATTATGGTTCAAAATAAAGCTGAGGACATTGTGAATTTTATAGTTATGGATATTATAAAAAATTATTTAAATGACTAAGAGTGGCTTAAAATAAGTATTTTGCGTTTCACGTGTGTTTTTTCATGCAAATCAATGAGTTCTGATCAACTGGATATTCATACATACTGTGTGTATACACACA